GAGAACACCTGTCACAAAGATAGGTAGTGCCCAAACATGGATAAAACCATTTGGGCAGCCAGGGATGTAATTTGGGGTACCCTGGCAAGAGCTAATGAATAAAATGTGTCCAAGCCCCACCGATAGCAACATTTCTCCTTCAATTGGGTATCACACTGGCAAGTCAATTATCTCGAGTTGGATGTCAGGCTGTGCATGTCAGAAAGGCTGACTGTAAATGGCAGCGAAAAACGGCAAATTCCTTCTCATAGTTCACTGAAAGACGCTGAAACCTCAGCTCGAACTCCTGCAGGCAATCGCTGTTTATCTTGTCTTTGTATTGATCCATATCAGCAATTACGTCCCGGTGCGCACGCCACGAGCTGTTAGACATGGAAATGGGCGGTGTCACCGCTAAATAGCTGCGTCATCCAGAATGACAGTTTAACTTGAATGCGCGTATGCTGTGTTATAGACTGAGTCAGCAATTTTTTTTGCGGCCCTGCAACAGTTTTTGTTAAGATATCATGGTGCGTGTAATATCCACCATAAAGCAAGATCCTCACCCCACTCGGACATTTAAGTTCCTTCACTGGGACTAACCCTTGATTCTCCATGAACTGTCACAATTTTCCTCTCGTAGCTCAAAGACCCAGTTGAGCACGGCACCTCGGCTTAACCAGCCGTACGTTCAGGTGTGAGTATGGTAAGGCCAGGCTGACATGTCATATCTCTGAGAAAAGTGTCAAACTGAACGGTGATCTCAGAACCTCGCGCTCTGGATGAAATTTGCAGTTTTTACAACCACACTCATAACATTGATCCATTTTTATGTGTTTTGCAACACAATGCTTTCTTGATGCAAATAGCAGTGAAATGTCGCAAAAATCTTGTCCCCTACATTTTCGGTGTCTGTACTTTTCTCTGCTCGGCATTTTGTCGCACCACGCCTGCCTTTCTCGCCCAACCATTGATGTGCGCCATCTGTAGCCAGCTGACGCAACGGAGACCAGTCCACGTCCGACCTTTGTCCATAGCGCTCCAACGAGAGAGCTGAATACGTCATTCGCTGTTGTAGTGTCTTCATAGCAACCAACTCAAAGGAACTCCTCAGTGATTGTCCAAAGTCTGCATCAACACCCCGAATAAAAGGCCAAGATTGAGCAATATTTGTTACATCAGTGCTCTCAATCAATTGCAACCGAAAAACAATAAATGACTTGATCTGTCATTCATTTGGCTGCTCAAGTCTCCTGAAGAGCTCTGTTACCCTATCTGCGACAGTGTTCCTCGACAGACTGAATGTTGGCAAAGCAGATCGCTTTTCCAGGGAACACGACTGTGCTGCAGCTTCAGCATGCATGTTTCAGCAGAACCTCACCATCAGAAATATGGCTTGGATTGCTTGCACTATCTCGTGAGGCAATAAGGTAGCTGGCTTTTCACTACTGCTTCAACATGACGTCAAGCGGCTGCAAGTAAAAGATAGACTGGCTGTTTCTTCTTCAGACGAACAAGACCTAACAATTTGTCCTACTCCTCTTTCTTAGTTTCCTTTCACCAATGGTGATATTTTTCATTATGATGAGTTCTCCTGTGCGGCCGAATATTATATTCTTTGAGCCTGCAAACTTGCTGACTTAGCATACCAAAGCACACGTTTTTGTATCAACCTCTGTGAATAAAATAATTCTCAAGCTCCATTTTTCCTGGAAAACCTGCACCTCTGTGTCCAACTTTTCTATCTTTTTGACAAAGGACATTTTAGGTAATGGGATCGTCACAATGTCATTCAACCATGAGCGGTGCAACAAGTTGTGGATTCCTTCATTTTTTTTATTTTTTGCTGCCCCTAGGCGGCCTGAAATGAGCATTGGTTATTTCTTTAAAAAATCATAACATCATCACAGGAATGGGCTAGAGACTTGCTTTTTTTTTGACACTACTCAGATTTATGCTCTACATGTCGTCGGCCTGATCAAATCATCTCGCGGGCCGGATCGGCCGGCGGGCACGTATGTTGACACCCCTGATCTAGAGGATCAATCTGAAAAATAAATAATAATGGTAACAGTAATCAATTAATAAGCTGTTCACGCACTGTACACTGATAACAGTTCTAAATCCACATTGTAATTAATATAATGTGTACATTCGCGCCACGACTGTGGGCAGCCCATCAAATGGCTGCTCAATGACTGTATGGATGTCACCTCGAACGGGCAAAGGGGGCACGCCCTACCTTCCTGGATGGCTGCCCGCACACCCGGGAAATCGTGCGGCTTGTAGGGTTCGTCTAAAAAATAGAGTAATATGTGTAACATTTGTAACTTATAGTATATCCAATTAAACTGGCAAATGATTTGGCCTACAATGTCGTTTGAGTTTAACATTTTGTTAATAAATTTTGCGTGTTTGAACTAATAGTGATTTTTGTATAGTAGGGAGACAAACATTCACACGCAGTAAAACTTAAACTACAATAAATGAAAATAAATTACTGGGAGGGGCGCTTCTGCTGACGTCTGCGTGATGGTGTGGCGATGCCGGCTCAGGCACGTGGCCAGATGCTCTGCCGCGCCGGTTGGTGGACGGTGTCTCAAGATTCCCAAATAAACAGACCATGTTGAAACGTTTCTGTGATTTATTTATGACGGTGTAAAGTCAAAACTACTGTTGGGTGCGACTTGACTAAATCTACAACTACTAACAAGCATTAAACTTTTAATTAAAACGTATGAGTTATGATGTGTAATAGAAATATAATTATGATAATATGAATATAAGGTATGCACTTACCGAACAGTCGCCTTCTAATTATAATTGGCTTAGGGGGTGGCGGTGGAGTAGGCTCCACCACCTCGTCTTCCTCCTCCTCGTCTGCACACTAGGTCATTGACAAATATGTGTTCAATAAGCGGGTTCCTGAATATTCACGATAGTCAGTAACATCACGCATAGGAGCTGCACACTAGCTCCTTGCACCCTTTCTGCATTAAAGGCACCTTTCTGATTTTCAGCGTAAGTGCTTTATCTTGTCATACAGCTGTTTTTTTGGCTGTGTGGATTACGATAGATGACGTATTTTTTCCTGATGAAACCCTGATCCCCGCCACCCTACCCTATCGCAATTGAAGCCAACTGTTGTCAGGTATGGGGTGAAGATTGCGTTCAATGTGGAGCGTCTTCAGTGCTGAAGGGCTCGCGTCTGTGGCGTAAAGGCTGATGTTGATGCCGAGGGAATCGAGGGTGGGGGCACATAACATGGCCGCGGTGGCTGGATGGCGGATCTATAACCACAAATGAAATTTTCAATACCTTATAAGCTAGTGTGTTACTGCTGTAAATTTTGTCTTAGCAAAGTGTATCTTGTACAATTTCATACGAATTGCAAATCGACTCCACGTTGCTCCGCGACGAAGAGCGTGTTGACAGGGACTCTTCTTGTAGCAGGGCCAGTCTCCTCCTCCTCCTCGTCTCCCTCGTACAGTGCGGTGGGGGATCGTAAATATGTCAAAAGAAAGGAAATTGTCAATACACTTATAATCTAAGTTATTACTTTGCTTAATTTGTCTCGTATCAATCCAGTGGTCCTTTGTACAATTTCCATAACGAATTGGCAATTGACTGCCGCGTTGCCTTCGGCGACGATAGTGGCAAGTTGACAGGGACTCTCTTGTCGCAGGGCCAGCTTCCTGCCTCCTCCTCCTCCTCCTCGTCCTCCCTCGTGTGTGCTTCTTTGGTGTTTTGCTTTTTTACAACTGTTTTGTACCAATTTCTTGGGCGATTGGGCAATTGACTCAGTGATTCAGCACATAACCAAAGTGATTAATGGCCATTATGCTATTTACACGTTTACATGCCGGCTAACTGTAGGGTTGCCAACCGCTGGCTTCCACACCAACCGCGCGATCCCTCGGTGTCCATATTTTACGCATCCTCATTTCGGCCGCCTCGGCGCCATGAACCGGGGGGAGGCGTCCGGCGACACCGGCACCGGTCGCCGGCCCCGACCGACGTGCCCATCCCACTCCCAGTGCCAAGTCCTTACCTGTAGTGGTGGGGTGGCCGCTGGGCTTCCGGGGTGAATGGTGGCAGCCAGAGTCGTGGTGACGTGGTCGACGCGTGTGGCGGGTTGTCGTCGCTGCAGTCGTCATTGTCGTCGCGGGTGGTCGGAGGCCTGCCGGGGGCGTGGTGGTGAAGATCCAAATCACCGCCCTGGCAGGTCCGGTCAGGTCGTCCCACGGGTCGGCCTCTTGGGGCGGGACTGTCTGGGGCGGGAGCGCGCCTCCGCACAGGTCTCGTCGTAGTCCTGTCGCTGGGAGCTGTCGCTGTCGCTGCCGATGGCTGTCGGGGGCCATCGGCGCCGAGCAGTTGGTTCCGACGCGCTCTATAGGGCGGTCTGTCGCTGCCGCGCGGCGGCGCCAGACGATGCGGCGGCTAGTGGTGGGGGTGCAGACGTAGCGGACGTCGGCGTCAACGCAGCCCTGCGGTGGGGTCGGCTTCGGTAGGGGCTTGGGCGGCGATGGAGGCGCCATGCTGCGGCGTCCAGCGTGACAGAACGATGACGATGCGCTGGGGCGCCGGCGCAGTGCTGTTGGGCTTGCCATGGTCCAGACAAATGCAGCGTGTTACGAGGTTCACATACAGAGTATAAGTGCGATCGAACGTAACCGGACATCATAGTGGCGGGATATATAGTGCACTGGCGGGCCGCGACGAAACAGCGAAGATACCGCTAGATAAGGGCTACGACCCGTGCGACGCGTTCTAAGCCTACCGTATGCTCCGTATCGACGCCGTATTACTGGTGGTGACGAAGGTATTTCATTTCACCTCTTTCTGGGGCGTCCATCAAATCATACAGTCATTCAGCAGCACCATCTTTACAAAAATGTTCAGGCTTGTTAGGTATGACCTGATTGAGCCTGCTGCTAGCTTTTGTCCCTTTAGTAGACGTATTACAGACTCAATCAAGTCTGGGCCTTCTACCTCGAGGTCCTTGATGGTGGTGAGGCCCATTAATTGTATGATGTGCGAAGCCTGGGAAAAATGCTGCTGGGTATTTTTTCGGACTTTGCTCCACCAGCGTTGGATGTTAGAAAATCAACTAATTGTTGCAGCTGCTGGAGGAGGAATTCTCGTGCTGCTGGTGCTGCTGGTGCTGGTGCTGATGCTGGTGGTGCTGGTGCTGGCGCCGATTGGGCACTCCTAGCCCGAACCCTTTGAGCTTTCTTCTCAAGATCTTTTGCTCGGAGAAAGCGGGCCATTTCTGTTGTCAGTTGGTCGCCCTGCAGGTGGTGAGCCCTTTTGATGTGGCGTCTCATCCTGACCACCTGTATGCGACAAAATGAGCACGTGTCATGCCTCCGTCCAACCAGAAGCCTCACAGATATGCGACCATTCTGGGCAATTACCTTTGCCTGCTTCTTTAGTTGGTTATGAACGCCCTTGATGTGGCGCGGGAGGTTCACTACCTCCACGGCAAAGTCAGGACATTTATGCCGGTGTCGGATTCTTTTCTCGGCTATAAGAAAGAAATTATTAATTAGTGTTGGCATTGAACTTGAAGAACTGTTTTTGAGCGAGTGATGTTGTCTTTTTGCTAAGTAGCCATCGCACATGCATCTGTATTTGTACCTTTTTTGAGTGCCACTCTTATTGCCGGAAAACCTGGAGGCAGGAGGCGGGGATTCTTCCTGAGCAGGAGGCGGGGATTCGTCTCTTGATGATTCATCATCTAGAGGATCATCTGAAAAATAAATAATAATGTAACAGTAATCATTAATAAGCTGTGTTACCACTGTACACTGATAAAGTACTAAAATGCACATGTAATTAATAATGTGTACATTCGCCACGATGTGCAGCCATCAAATGGGTGCTCAATGACTATGGATGTCCCCTTGAACGGGCAAAGGGTGCACTCCCTGTTCCTTCTGATGCGCACTAGCATTTCATTAAATTTCCGCATGTTTTGTTTGCTTGTGAGTTCTCTTTCACTTGATTCGCTGCTCCATGACATAAGCTGTGTTACTACCTTTGGTCCAACATTAACTCTTCTCTTAATGAAGAGGAATGCTTCAACGTCAAAGGCCCTTATCGTCCCGGATGGCTGCCCGCACACCCGGGAAATCGTGCGGCTTGTAGGGTTCGTCTAAAACATAGAGAGTAATATGTGTACATTTGTATTATAGTATATCCAATTAATACTGCCAAATTATTTGCCTACATGTCATTTGAGTTTTACATTTCGTTAATAATTTCGTTTTTGACTAATGGGTGATTTTTGTATAGTGGTGTAAAACAAACAGTCACTGCAGTAAAACATAAACTATAATGAAATAACTTACTGGGAGGGTTTGCCTCTGCTGACGTCGCGGTGATGGTGGTGGCGATCGCCTCAGGCACGTGGCCAGATGGCCCTGCAGCGCCGGTGGTGGATGTGTCTGCAAGATTCACAAATAAACAGAACATGTTGAAAACGTTTCAATATTCAAGTTCCTGAATATTCACGATAGTCAGTCACATCACGCATAGGAGCTGCACACTAGCTCCTTGCACCTTTCTGATTTTCAGCGTGTCTTTATCTTGTCATACAGCTGTTTTTTGCTGTGCGATTCGATTAGATGACGTATTTTTTTCTGATAAAGCCCCGACCCCCGCCACCCTACCTATCGGCATGAAGCCAACTGTTGTCAGGTATGGGGTGAAGATTGCTTCAATGTTGGAGCTTTCTTCAGTGCTGAAGGCTCGTCGTCTGTGGCGTAAGGCTGATGTTGATGCCGAGGAATCGGAGGGTGGGGGCACATAACATGGCCGGCGGTGCTGGATCGGATCTATAACCACAAATGAAATTTTAAGCTAAGTTGTTACTTGCTTAATTTTGTTGTACAACCGTGTATTTGTACAATTTCAGTCGATTGCAATTGACTCACGTTGCTCCGGCGACGATGAGCAAGTTGAGAGGATTTGGGACTCTCCCTGTCGGCAGAGCGAGTCTTTTTCCTCCTCCTCGTCTCCCTCGTCAAGCTCCTCCAATGCGATGGGGGATCCTAAATATGTCAAAAGAAAGGACATTTTTAAAACATTTTTCTTACAAATGCGAAGGGGGGTTCAGCGCGACCAGCCATATTGTCCAAAAACACGAAATTGCAGATAAGTTGAAGTAAGAGTTCCACGAAATTCGTTCCACAAACCGAAAATGGTTTCTATAGTTTGTTACTTGCTTGATTTTGTCTTACAACTGTGTATTTGTAAAATTTCATACAATTACAATTGACTCACGTCTTGACGAGGTCGACGACGCCCCAAAGACCTCCTGGTAGGCGGCGGCCACCACCGCGGACGACTTCAGGGACTGTGCCAAGTCGTAGTACTTAGCCTGAGTCGTCTCGCGGTGGCTCATGGACTTCCGGCCTCCTGTCCAGCATGGTTGTCGCCATCGACTTCCGCCAGGAGGTTGAGCTGATGGCCGGTGTTCCTAATGGCATTGCCGCTGTCCAGAATGCCGTGAAGAGGCGACTAATGTTAGACGTGTTTGTAAAACATCTGCCTCCAGCGGAGGGAAATAGACCAGGGACGGAAGGAAATGCTCAATATATGTTGTAAGCATCTTGTATGTGTCTCTGGTTACGGCGATCTTCGTGGACCCAGAAGACTGCGAGGTCTTATGTTTTGGTTGGATCAGTATGAAGAAGCGTCCTTCTTCCCGAGCAGTCCTCACGGACGCCACCGTCAGGTGTAGAATGGCCGAGGGTCGTTCTCCACTGCTCAGGAAGAGGTAGCTTATCAGAAAGTCTCTAGCCATTGCGGTGTCGCTGACTGTCGGGTTGGGGGCTGCCTCTCTTATAATGTCTCTAGCAGTATCACAATTGTGGAAGCTGTAGAACATACTGATGTGTTCTTGTGTAATGATGTTCCGCAGCTCCGACGCCCGAAGCTCCACCTGGCGGTCTTCGTTAATACGAAGTAAGCATACGTCGTGATTGGAGATAGTGGTGATGATTGCCCTCATCCTCTCCACATCTCCGTTGACTCAGCCCAGCTGAATACTCACCAACAACATGTTCGCGAACATACAAAAGCTTGCCAGGTAGGACCTGATCGAGCCTGCTGCGAGGTTTTGTCCTTTCAGCAGTGCTATCGCAGGCTCGAGTAGGATCGGGCCGTCCGTTTGCAATTCCCTCAGTGTAGATAGCTGCATTAGCTGTAGCATCTAGGAAGCTTGCCTGGTATGTTGTTGAGCAGTTTTTAAGGTTTTTCCTCCTCCAGCATTTGATGTTAGGTACGCAACTAGTTTTCCTAGCTGGTCGATGAGGAGGCACTCTGGTGCTGGTGCTGGTGCTGGTGCTGGTGCTGGTGCTGGTGCTGGAGCTGGTGTTGGTGCTGGAGCTGGTGCTGGTGCTGGTGCTGGTGCTGGTGCTGGTGCTGGAGCTGGTGTTGGTGCTGGAGCTGGTGCCGGTGCTGGTGCCGGTGCTGGTTCTTGAAGTCGTGCGCGCCTAGCTCGTTGTGCTTTTTTTTAATTGCCTTGTTGGCAAGGAATTCACGCATTTTTGTTGTTAATCTGTCGCCCTGCAGGTGGTGAGCTCTGACGAGGTGGCGTCTCATCCTTACCACCTGCAGGCGACAAATTGGGCATGTGTCAGCAGCCTTTGACGTTCTTCTCAGCCTATTGGAGGCACGGCAATTACTAGCCATGGTTTTGGCGTGCCGTTTGTGGACATCATGGACTCCCCTAAGGTGGCGTCGCAGCTGGGTTACGCCCAGGCCACAGAGGGGGCAGTCCACGCGCTTCCTAATTTGCTTTTTGCCTATAAGAAAACTGTGGTGGTCGTGTTATTCAAAACATACAGAGTAGAACAGTAATTAATTACAATTTTAAGCCACAATTTGTAGGGATGTCAAGAAGTGAAACACCGAATGTAATCTACTATAGTAATACACATATACATATTAAATTTGTATGTTAATAACTATGTTGTGTTACGCCTCAGTGGCGTCACAAGGGGGGTGCGCGGAATGCACCGGGTGACACCATCAGAGGGGGTGACACCAAAATAACTCTTCTAGCTTAATGTTAAAATAAACAGTTTTGATGTAGTTCTTGATATATTTAAGCCGAGTATTGAGTTTTGACATTGGCATGTAATCTGACGTCCTCTTGATGCGATTGCCCTGAAGCTGCCAGTCGCTGTTGGCGTGTCTGTGCCCGTGGTTGTGTATCTGTGTGGTGGACACGTCTGGTATGCACAATATCTGGAAAATAACCTGGGTCATCGACATCTTCCTACATATATAATATTATAAAAGGTTTAATGACAGTATGTGTAAAATTCATCTTCATATCATCAAGATTCGCAAAGCAGTGGCCACTGGGGGGCATGACTGTGTACCCCGAATCGACAATTTTGTTTAAATGTTTTTTTTCCTGTTCATGGATTTCAATGTTCAATCTGTAGCTGTAGTCGATACTACCTTTGTAACAATAACCTCTATTGTTGGTCTAACGAGGACGATGACGTTACCCGGTTCAAAGTAGATTTGTTGTAAGTTGAAAGTGAAAAGGAAAACTCCAAAGTCCAAGCAGTTGTGTTCAGCAAATAGTATTTTTGTTTCTCAACTCACATGCGCGTGCCTCGCACACTCACGTCTAATCTCCCTCTCAACCGAGAACCTTCCCTTTATCCATTTCTAGCTAACAAAGAAAGTCGTGCGCGAGGACAACCACACCCGCTACGCACATGCACAACAACTCCGTCTCAACCGTTTCGCATCTCCATCCATACTACATCAAACGCGCTGCCGCCGACTAACCCATTATGCAACCACTTGTCGCGACATTTCTAAACACAACTACTATTTCTACCATCTGCAAACCACAATTTACATTGGCATTATAATAGGTTTTAAAATATGGTGGTAACTGGGCTAGCCATTCCAGTACAAAGTATTATGTATCGCTCACCAAATTAGTAGATGTTGTAGGGGCAACCCCAACAGCTGAAGAATTCCGATTTAGATTCTGCAATGACAAAATAAATAATACTATTTAGTAGGCGCATTTCATTTAACATAATAGCAATGTTGAAATGTTATAACCTAATTTACAAAACAGTTGCCATTACTCAATCAATTAAGTATCACTTACGACATTAGTAGATATGTCAGATTCTGACATGTCTGTAGGGGCAACTTCAACAGCTGAGATCTGGGTTGGATTCTGCAATGACAGAATAAATAATACTATTTTCACATCAAGTCTCGTAAATATCTTTCCCAATTACCAATAAATGTGAGCAGCAGTTTCAATGTGGTTTATTAACCCTGAATATTTATGTCACTGATTTTGTAAGGTTGGATCCTTACACAGTATGTTCTCCTGGCCGTCTGGTAGAATGGAGCCCCGAGTCCATCCCAGGCAGTCCTTATATATGCTCGCAGTCGTGGCCTTGCCTGGCTTGCCGTGAATCCTGGGACGAAGCCTGTATGGAATCCTGTAGTATGGCTTCGACTCGTAGGTGACGGTATAGACACCTTACACTCTCCCCTCCTTCGGAGCAGAGTCCCGGCGGACAGTCTGTAGTACAACTGTACTACATGCTCAATGCACTAAGTACACTGCCGACAGCACTGGGTATGTGTTGCTGCTACCATTGCCCATAGCACAACACAATCGTTCGCGCATAACTGGCAGGATACTTTGTTATTCCCCTGCCGAGTTATGCATCTACTCGG